CCCCCCCCCCCCCCCAGTAATAGCGCAAAATTTTATTTGCGGACAAACAATTTAAAAACGAGCTCAGATTTATGCAATAGGAAGCAGGGTGTAGTAACCTGACAGATGTACGTAATGTTTAACCAAGAGTCGTCACACAAGTACTTACGCGGGGAGGTCCCTGTCCCCCCCCGCAACAGAAACAGCAATCCAGTTCTAACAACTGAGGGCCCGTGGTCCGAGTTCCTGCTGCTTATTTGCGGACAAACAATTTAAAAACGAGCTCAGATTTATGCAATAGGAAGCAGGGTGTAGTAACCTGACAGATGTACGTAATGTTTAACCAAGAGTCGTCACACAAGTACTTACGCGGGGAGGTCCCTGTCCCCCCCCGCAACAGAAACAGCAATCCAGTTCTAACAACTGAGGGCCCGTGGTCCGAGTTCCTGCTGCTAAATCTAGAACGCAGCAAGACTAACTTGACATCGCTGTCTCTTCCTTTAGGAAAAACAAAGAGAAACAAACACCAAAAAAATTTAAAACCCCATTTGGGATTATGCAAGCTCAAAGTAATTTCACAGAGTTTGGGAGGCCCCACTCCCTGCGCTTTCCCCATCAGGACCGTCTTAGTTTCCTAACACTTGGTTTCAAATTGTTTCAGCTTGAATCCTTTCATCCTGGTATCAGCAATTCAGATTATTATTGCTAAAAATACAAACAACAAAACGAACTTTGATTTATTTCTCGGACAATAAATCAGTCAATCAATCATCAGAGGTGTATCTGTCTACCTCCGACAGTGCTCAAGGTAAGGGTTTCACCACACACTCCGGCCTTGCTGGACTCCCTATAGCTGTAAAGTAAGAAAGATGATAGCAGTCTGTGCGTAGGAAGTACATCGTTGACTTCGCACCTGGAACACGGGCCGCGCCAGTGATCAGATTTCAGACCGTATGGAAAATCGATCCCGGAGCACTGACAACGGACAGCCGTCGATACAGCCTATTTTAAACACTATCACTGCAGTAAGTGGAAGGACTCCAGCTTAGTCAAGTGGCCTGGCTCTCCTGCTCCTTATCTTACCTTTCAAGATTAAGGTAATAAAAAACAAAGCAGAACATAGGTTAGACTAAAAAGAGAAACTCATTTATATAACAGAAAAGTAAACAATATACTTCCCAACTGCGTTAAGTAAGGCAGTTAGTTATCCATAGAAACACAGTAGTCCGCAGAGATAAAATTAACATCCTGCAACTCTGTTGAAACCAGAGGATGCAGCATTTTCTTCAGGAACTTGCACAGAAAAAGGCAGAAATCCCCATCACTTTAGGACCAAGTTTAAGGTCGAGATGATGCTGAACAACCCCTATCAGATTTAACTGCTACCTAAACCTCCCTCCTGAGGCCGAGCCCCGAGAGGCACTGAGACCAAGTCCCACGATTTCACTTTACTGGAATATGAAAAGCTGCGTTTGCCTTATCTTTATTACCCACAGCATCTCTTCAGTAAGTCGGTAAATGATCTTGCAGACCAAATCTAGAAGACCTAGGAGACCGCTTCAACACCAAGCGGCACGATTCTCACGCTTGGAAGCGGTTTGGACTACCATAAAATGAAGTTCAGAAGCTCAAATTAAATCCGTGCTCGGCACCCACACACTGAACAGCCACTCCGACAATTCTCACAGCGCAATCAGCCACTGCAGGGCACGGCCGCTCCTCAGCAGCTTACCAGACATTTGCAGTTTTCATTCAGAAGGCACAGCTACGTACTCTTGAGTACGGATAAAAGGTCAAACTGAAGCATTGCAGGTATTCATAATCTATTTAATAGTGGGACACCAAAGAAGTACTACACATTTTTCTTGAGCACATCAGATTTGGATTGAAGCAATTGCAATGGATGCAGGAATTTCTCAAAAATCGTCGTCTATATTCTACAATCCACAGTTTACTGTATCAGTCTAGTAAGTCATATCATGATATACCGTTTGCGCCAACTGGTCTGATAGCCTGATCTTTAGCAAAGCATCCTTCTCCTTCCTCCACCCCCCCAAATGTTGACAAAATTCAGCCAAATTAAAAAAATTACCGTACGACTTATTTTAGACTCTTTTGTTGACCTAAACACAATGGGAGCTACCAGTTATACACAGCTTATGAACGATGTTGCGTTTTAATTCTAAAAGTCTTCATGCTGATACAATAAAATATTTTATACAGCGATCAATTTTTAATGCTTTATTCATTGATTAAAAGAATATACATTTAACATAAACCATACAACATCAGTCATCAATTCAAACATTCAGCTGGTTTCCTTACATTTTCTGTCAGGATATTTTTTTTTTTATCTGATCACATTTATAAGATAAAATCTCACCACATCTGGCATATACACACACTGTGCCAGTGGATTCACTCTACTGATGTACATATAAAATCCGCATGGTATGTGCTCACTGGAGACAAAACAGCGCACACCTGTCAAAAGGTCATTTTAATATAAGATGGTAAAACCATTTGTAAAACACATATAAACTTTTTCCATAAATAGAATCATATCTGGACATCTGTTGCATAAATTGTGTTTTCCAAAGCTTACAATATAGCAGCCAGGTCTCAGCACTGCTGGGCACCCACGTTGGCCACTTACTTTATTATTGCAGACTGTCCTTTAAACATTAAATGCACA